TAGGGTTGAAGAAGGTAGCTTTATTGTTGGGGAAGGCGGCCGATTTTGCTGTTTCTAAAGAATCAACTGAATAGCTCAGCAGTCAGTAACCATCCAAAATCATGAAGATGACAGAGGTGCATTTCATTAGTAACCAGCAACTGTACTTTTGGCAACCCTGATTGTAGTAATCATTTAACGTACAGTTGCACTCTCCCAATAATAAATTATTTGCACTCAGTTATGTCAATTTCCCTGTTATTTCAAACTCAAAGCCATTTTCCCTGGATTTACCCCCCAGTCAATTTACTACAGTACTTTGAACTCCCCCTGTTTCCATCTATTCTTCATTTCCCGAGAGTTTGAAATAGTGCAGTTCAACTGTAGTCCCCAAACAAATAGTGTTGAAAGCACTTACATGTTTAAATGTTTCCTTAGGAACAGCCTTAGCATGACACTTTTTTAGATACTCTTCCCAAGAAAAGAGCTCTTCGTCTTCCTCCTCAGATCCTGTTGAACCATCATAGATTTGTTGTTTCACTTCTGGGTAGTAACAAAATAGCACAGAAATCACATTTGAACAGGACATGAATCATTGCTTAAGTCACAATGTATACCTGATCCATTTCGCACAGATTTTTTGACATTCCTAACTGCTTCCTCAATACTCTTCTTTCGTTTACGAGTGCTAAGATCTTTATCCATTTTTAGCTCATCCTACTAAAGTTCTTGTCTCACTTTCCCATGATCAAAGCTTATTGAAGATGTACCTGCAATAACAATTTAAAATATCACTTGATTTTAATTTATCAGTGGAAAGGATTTTGTAATTAAATTCTCATTTGCCCTGAATGTTCAAATATAATTCATTAATCCAAAGCAAGTCAACTGGAAATAACTATTCAGCAGAGTGCTTTTTATTTTAGTTATTTAATCTTTCTTTTGGGTTGGTACATTTTGCTGACCCCCCAGCACATGGACTAACAAGATGGACCTGGTACATGAACTACTTGAATGAACCACCAATGGACTAATCTAAATGTAAACCCCTAATGTCTATGTTCCAATTTTCTAGGAAGAATTTTTAAACGTCATCGCTTCTGCATGCATTGCGTGCCGTTTATTTTATTTGGAAACGCAAGAGCTTATCTGCATATTAAACTTCAATTGAGGAGATTTTATCATCTAAAGGCCTCGAAAGCAAAAGCCATCGAAACGACTCAAATCCAAACTGTGATTAACAAGGTTAAGTTAATTAACCTGCACTAATAAAACGAACAGGTACAATAAATATCGAGAGCATCTCAAGCTTTACAGTGTAAGTGAAGACTTAAAAACACAAATCAAAACTTCCTCAACCCAGACCGCTGACTTTTCAGAGTTCGTCCTCCAATATAAATTGAAGGTTATGATTCACAGCTTTGATGACAATAAGGAAAGAAATTTGATTTTGCGTACAGGTTTTCGCGGCTAATGACCTAAGTTGGTTTGACAATTTTTAAACTGACGCGCAGCGTGTTCGGTTGATACACTCATCAGTTCGATTCGACTTCAGTCAAAAAAGTGCATAATACTTTTGCTGTAATCGCTAAACAGCAACCGATCTGGAACAAAAATTGAAAGTAGGAGGTTGAATTCAACACCATCTTTCCGATCTGCATGAATAACAAGGCAGGTAATCTAAATAACTTGGATTTCAGATCTCAATTTTGGCCTTGTTTACAACCGATCATGGTCAACATTTTTGCATGATACAAATCATTGCATACACGCTCAAAATCGTTTCGCTCCTATTTTCGCCGCTTGAATGCAACGATTCTTGATCGGTGCTTCTATTTTAAGAATATTCGAAACAATTTTGGAAGATATTTTGAGGAAAACTTACCGCATAAATCCAAGATTCCCAGCCCTTGTCGTGAACGCTTTCCCCGCCGATTCTCGAAGCTCACAAAGCGTCTCAGTTGACCCGCAGGCGTGGTTGCATAGCCGTACTCATTTCCAGGTTCTCCCGGATCAATCCAAGAGAAAATGAGAGGATCCTCATTTTTAACTCGTGAATTGTGTAAGCAAGTTTACGAGTTCTGGTCGTAGATCAGATTATGCAAATAAGGACTGGTCGATCGTCTGATAACTTTTCGCAATTCCACCGTTTTTTGGGTCGTATATATCATTTGACATCGCTCGGACAAAGTTAGACCGCGAGCAGGCTCTGCACAGGAAAAGAAAGAAGCACAAGAAAAGGGAAGAAGAGACCGCCCGCATCACTTAGAAATCTGAACGAAACCTCAAAGAAACCCCGCTAAGCAACTTGTCCAAAGTCAGTCGATCAGCTCGCAACCGATATGGTTGTAAACATGTTGTGCACGAGATCTGTGCCAAACTAAAGGATATGGCTGGCGATGGCTGATGCAGACCCGGACGCAGACTCTCCAAAGAAAATATATGAAAAGGAAGAAAACCTGAGTCAGAAATCCGAACAACTATTGCAAATGTTGTAAAGCCTCGCTGAAAACCGTGGAAGGCTGTTTCCACAGGAAATGTGTTTCTATCATCCGCCAAGAAGGTTTTCGATGGTGACTTGTTATCATATCTGCTTTAAAACAAGAGGAACAACCAAGTAAAAAAAATTCAATCTGTCAGAGTCTGTAAAGCGTGCCCAGGTAAAGTAAGAAAGAGGCGAGAAGGATTTCATCATGAATAGTAATCAATACCGTAAAGCACAACTGCTGCCAACTTTTGGCAGAACGATGAGCAATTGACTTTCAGGAAATTCAGTCGTTGCTCGACCACTTCTTTGGTCCTGAGCCAAACATTAGATGAAATTACACCGTCCTCAACTCCGTCTTCGTTAAATTAGCAGCTGATGCAGCTGAGAGACCCAGGTTTCTGCCCTCTGAAATCTGGTCATTGCACTCTGTATTAAAAGCCAGACAACTAACACGATAGACCCATCCTATAATACTAATCTATGCTGCAAATTTAACTGTTTTCTGCAAGCAAGCCCTGCGCTCTCTCCTCCACTGAGGTCGGGCGTTCGTTATCTAATACGCTGTATGACGTGAGTGCAGCCGCAAAGTCGACTGGATCAATCGAGCAGCTCCCGCACTCTTGAACCCTCTGCGCTTGCACTCAGATCTCTCAGAGGATTCTCCATATCTCAAAATCACCATTGAGCCTCTGCGGAGGAGAAGGAGCTCTATTGACCATCAGTACTTGCAACGTTTTTCTGCGAAATTAAAAATTGATCGCCGTCTCTGTCTCTCTCTCTTTCTCCCCTGCGGAGGAGAGAGTGCTCTACCGATCCTAAGTTTTTGTAACATTTTTCGGCGAAATTAAAAAGTGATCGCCGTCTCTGTTAGAAAAGTAAAGAACTCTGTGAAGGTGTAGTTCTTGAAGTACTTGTAATTTCCACAGCTCTTGCAATTCGTTTACGGAGAACCCATAGCATTTCATGCAATGAAATTATGTTGGAACTGTTTTGAACAAGATTTTGCAACACAAAATCATGAGCGATTGTCAGTCTCAGAACTATTTATTTGTCAGTCACTCTCTTTTCACAGCGGGTTCTCACTTGACATTTATAATATATTAAACAAAATTCCTTTTTTGAAGAGAATAACGTGATCGACAACCCCTTCTATCTTCGTTTCGCGAAGTACTGAGAAAATTCACACATTTATGGTCACAGATAAAAGCAAAGGAAAGTTTTAAATTGCCTTCACCTTAGCCTGCGAGCAGGCTCACGTTGGAGCACAAGCGCGCGCGGCGCAGCTGCGAGCGCGTAATGGAGCGGCCACTCGCGCGTGTGACCCAAAGGTGAGCCTGCTCGCAGCCTACCCTCATCTCTGTTATACTTGTTATAGAGCACACTGTTCATAGGAAAACGAGTTTTATGTGAACGTTGATTTTCCAGAAATTCTTTGACGCATGGATTGATCAAGAATGAGGATTTTTGTATGTGCGTATGCATTCTGCCAATTATCTGTGGTTATCTTTACTTAATCATCTTCGTGCTTAGCTAGCACAAAAGGGCATATGGCCGATAAGAAAACGTTAAGTTAAACTTTTTACCCTAAATATCACACCATCTAATCACCATCCCTAGTTAATTCACACCATTCGTACAAGGAAAAGGTTTTGTATAAAAACAATTGAGCAGGTATTTAAACACGTCTCAATTTGGCGGGAACAACGAGGTAGCAGTGGTCACTTTATCTAAGAGTTTCTGCACCGCTTGGATATCTAAATTTAATATAAATTAATTCTAAAAAAATGAAACACTTCTATAAATTTTTCTATCCTCTAAGCTTAAGAATAATCATGAAAGGTTTTTACTGTATGAATATCATGGGCCTGCCATTTCTTGAAAGACCAGCTAACTAGATACCAGTTTGATTAAGGCACCAGGCATCCATGACGGATATTACATCGAACTGGAATCATGTTCAGTGATAACACTAATTAATTAGCGTGACACCGGATCACGTAATTTTGCGACAAATTGTCACGCAATCTATGAACGCCCCTCTGGCGTCCCTGGTAACTGAAGACGGCTGCCTCTGTTATCACGCTCGTGCACTGTCAATATTGACGCACGGGGTGGAGGTAAGTCCTGAACTCTATGATGCGACTCTCCAAGCCTCGACTGCACGTTACGGTTACCATAAACGGACTGGGGACCATTTCTATCATCGCGAATGTCTTGGAGCCACATGCGCTCGCCTGTTGTTTTGTTGAAGAGATAAACCTTTCCTGTCACTGTGAAGGAAAGGATGGGGAATTAGAAAAGAGCTGAATTAAAAACTCGCCTTTTGTCTAAGATCGAGAGGCTAACTACTTCTCACAACGCCTTCACAGCCAGGCTTATTGATGGTGGGGTTTTTCGGTGGGTTTATAACGGTACGAGACAACTTCATCGGCTGACCCAGGCGTCTTTTTAAGGTTGGAACCCCTCAAAGTGTTCCGGCTCTTCGGCCCTTAAATTGATGTAGGCCGCGTGGGAGCCTTAGGATTAGACCCTCTACATCCGCCCTCTGAACTTATGTCCCAGGGGGCTTATAAACTCGGGGGGACTCCCATATAAACCCCGTCCTTTTTATATGGAACTTCCCTCCCCGGGCTTATAAAGGCTTAAAAAAACGGTTGGCAATGAGTTGATTAAGATCCAGGCCATGATTAACAACATGTTGATATTGATATTAGCAACATACTCTGGTAAGCTGCTCATTGGCTATTTTTTTCCTAGCACAGTGTTCTGCCGGGTTGTCGGACTTATGTACAGGAAGGGAGCTAGTTATTAGATTATTTTTTAGCTTCAAGATACCTGGATCAACGGCTCTTCCATCGAATCGTTTTCCATTTGGAGCAGTCTGAGTTCAGGAAAAAAAAACAAACAAAAAAAACAGTTGTGGTCAGTATAACAAGTATTGTTTCACAAAGCAAGCATGACTAGAAGTCTTGAAAGAAACTAGAAAAAAAAATCCTCACGATTTGATCGTCCGTCATTAAAGGGGCTACCATCTTGTTTTGCTTCACCTTGCCTACAGACAGAAAGCAATGTTTAGTTCAAGTTAGCAGGGCTGAGTTTGTTTAGTATCGAACACATTGACACACTGATCATCAGTTATTGAAGTTCAGTAACACTGTCGTATTTTTTGGGGGGTGGGGGTGGGGGGGATGGAGGGTGATCAAAAAGCGCTGCTTCGCAGAGTATTGTTCGTACCATGTTTGCTTGATTCATTAAGGACGCACTAACCTTTGTAGAAGGCAACTTCTCCATCAGTTAGGCCTCTCTTTGGCCTTAAATGAGGTTCACGTGATTCTATCATCCGTCGTCTGCAAGTCAAGACAAACGGGCAACAATGTCAGAAGAATTTCTTGTACTAAAATATTATGGCAACGAAACTTAACTTTCCACGACCGCGATACTATCAGCAAGGTAGCCAGCTCTAGGCATTCTTCTAGCTGCTCTGCATTTAAAATTTCAGGCTAGATTGGCAAGTTTGCCTGCAACAATCCATTTAAATTTTCCTGATTCCCGAGAAAGCATCACTCAGTTCTCAGTTTGTTCACCTTTTTGGTGTTTTTCTAATTTGGTAATCTAGTTTTTTATATTACCACGTAATTGAAGGCAATTTTAAACTTAACAAAAGAAAACTTAACTCATGGTAGCATAGCTGCTTTAATTACAGTTCATATGAACGTCACTAAGCGAGATGAAGCATCGCAACAAATCCGTCTGGTTGTGGGCCAGTGTAGACTCCAAGGGTCGTAGGAGTGTTTTTATCCGCGAACGGTGCGAGCACAAAAGAACGCGGTATGGACGAGAGCGCGGTACGGGAAAGCGTCTTGCCTCACACCCCATGGCTGATTTCGATTGACAACGACAGACTGTCAGTAGTCTAACATTAATTTCAGCCTTCAGCATCGGTGAATATTTCATCACTTGCCGTTGAAAAATAAGATATTTGTTCCGACCTCGTCCGCTATTTGATGACCATTTTGCACTATACGTGTTTTCACGAACTAATTTGTAGAAATCGGGCCATGACTGGGCAAAAATCACAGCGAGAAAGCTGAAGGAAGCGGATTAGCTGACAAATCAACCTGGAACAAAGGATTCATCATTTTGACCTAGAATGTAACATATAGGAAAAATTGTCCATCAAAATAGAAACTGATAACTATCGCATTTTTGACTTACTTTTTCTTTGCACGCTTTCTCCAGATAACAACAGCAACAATCGCTAGCATCACAGCCAGACATCCAGCCACAATAGTTATGATTCCAACAGTTGTCTTGAAGAAAGGTATTGGTGGAGNTGAAGTTTGTATTGCATTGTAATGGTCGATCAAATCAAAGAAAATCTAACGTTTGAGAAAGTTATCAAAATTTATCATGCGTCTGTCCTATCATTGATAATGAATTTCGTCATAACATTGTCAAAGTAGCTGTGAATCCACGAGGCGATAGCAGAGTGGATCCGCAGACCACTTTGACAATCTTATGACGAATTTCATTGTCAATAACAGGACAGACGCATGAAGAACTGACGTCAATTTGCTTTTTACAATAACAAATTGTCATATTGGCCCCTGTTGACGCATCCGCTTACTGACAATGAAAATTAGCCAGTGAGCGCGCGAGAATTTCTGCAGTTATCGTAAAACATTGTTTACCGAGATGTAGTTTCTCTTTTCTTTCTTCTTGCTCCTTCCGTCACTACTGTGACCTCTGCAATTCTAACTTCAGCTCCCAGTAGCTGAGAGATCTTCTCTATAAACAGATCACGATTTGCCTCAAACTCTTCCAAACTTATGTCCAGTTCTAAATCGACCATTGTCTGTTCCGCATCAATCGTGTCGATGCGAACCCTGATGGGATCACTGGTCAGCGGTGGGGAGCCTTTGTCTCTAGCGCGCACGCGCAGCACATATTTCTGACCTGAGAAAAATAAAAATAAAGAAGCATGGTAAGTGATAAGCTAGTCCTGATGTTATATACAGATATAGAAATATACAAATTCTGGTCCATAGACATTTCTTATCATGTTGTACAGCACTACTAACCGTAATGTCAAATTCCCATCGCGGGTCTCCATACATTTCTTATAGTACTCGTTGGGAGAATTTCATGATTTGTTTTCTTTTTAACGTTAAATCTAAATATCAACATACAAAGTCTCCTTTCTGTCCGCCATTCACATTCTTCACTACTAGTTTGGGAGAATCTGATGATGTATCGACCTCTTAAACTCTCTAATATCAATGAACAATTTCTCCTCACCTCCTCACCAGTCTCTATACATTTCTTATAGTACTAGTTGGGAGAATCTAATGATGTATTAACCCAGTAAACTCTGATGACAAGAGACAAATTCTCCTTACTACTCTGCATAAATCTCTTGGGTTACTAGTTGGGAGAATTTGTGATTTCAGAAACAGGCTGTGTGAAGTTACACCTACCATTCTCAGGAGATGACGTCAAGCGAATTCCACCATCACTGCTTCCAACCTCAAAGAACGAAGAAGATTCCTCCAGCTGATATTCCACCGTCCCAGCATCACCTGAGTCCCGATCTGTTGCTTTCACTGTTACGATAGGCACAGAGTTTAATGCGCGGTCGTGGCGAATACTGGTTTCGTACAAATCTGAAAAGTCAGGGTCATTAACAGAAAAAACTTTAAATGGGGGCTTCTTCATGGCAGGAACTTGCGTACAGTCGAACCCTATTTAGGGGCCACCCTCCGAGAAATGGGAGGTGGCCGCTTAATAGAAGAGGATTCGTCATGAATTAGCATGTCGTTAGGCTTAGAAGGGGTAAGGAAAATAAAAGGTGGCCGCAGCAGCTTAATTGAGGAGGCTGGTTAACACGAGTTCTATTTATAGTATTTTACCGATTGTAATTTCTAGACTTTAGTAACTGACCGGGAGGTCGCTTAATAGAGGTTCGACTGTATATTTTTATGTACTCGGTTGTAACGCGCCATAATAACGAGTTTTATTGACACCCCAAAACGACCGAATAAAAGTCGTGCATCTGCTTTCAACTTAGGACTGCTTTCTTTTCTTCAAAACTAATAGTATATTTAAAGCTAGTAAAGGACTTCTATTTGTCAGGCTTTGCAAAATTAATAAATACCCGTTTTTTCTCTAATATTTTTGAAGTATATATACAATGTAAGTCTTGGAAGACAGAACTAAGTTAAAACGACTTTTGCACGTTTTTCTAAATTCTCTAACAGGTAGATTCGTCAATTTGTTGACTTGAGTCAATTTACTAACCCCTTTCAATGATGGGACTGTTATCGTTCACATCCTCTATGTAAATAACCAGAGACACAGAACCACTCAGCCTGATAATCCCATTGTCCTGCGCAGTAACCGTTACATTGATAACCTTCACATTCTCGTAATCAAACACGTTTTTCACAGCCACTTCCCCGGTAGCGCTGTCGATGCTAAAATACTCCACAGGAGAATGATGAGAAATGCTGTACGTCAGCTCAGCATTGGCGTCACTGTCACGATCGTCAGCCGTTACCGTGGTAACCGAAGTCCCGGATGGAGAATTTTCCGGGACGGACGCGTTGTAAAACGGTAAAGAAAAACTCGGGTTGTTGTCGTTCTGATCGAGGACGGTGATATAAACGTTCGTTATGTTGGATAAGTCGTTAGGGAACGCAGCGGAGTCTGAAGCCTTCACTTTGATTCTATACTCCTTGACAGTTTCTCTGTCCAACACTACAGCTGTGTACAGGGTCCCTTGGACAGGATGTATTGAGAAATGATTGCTGTTTTCTCCAGACATGATTGAATAAACCAGCTGGGCATGCGTACCGTTATCAATGTCGCTAGCCTGTACTGTTCCAACAGACGTTGCTATTGGTTGGTTTTCCACGACAAAGAACGTGTAATCTGCTTCGTTAAACGCCGGGGTGTTGTCATTACTGTCGCTAATACGCACGCGCACGTTGGTAGAGGAGGCCTTAGAAGATATCCCAGCATCCTCCGCTCTCACCATCAGGAAGTACTCTGGTGTGGTCTCCCGATCAAATGATCCTATAAATATAGGAAATTGGAATGAGAATGGCAAAAGGCTTAAAAGTCCAAAATAGCCGATTTTAAACTGAACTCAGCAACAAAAATCTCAGACTTTTCATTTTAAACTAGTTTGGTCTTATGAAAGGCCTGGCCCCAGTTGTTCGGAAGCTGGATAACGCTATCCACTGGATAAATCTCTGAGTGGATAAGTGTTACAAACCACGCTATCCGCTGGATGGTGATTTATCCAGTGGATAGCATGGTTTGTTATGTCAACACACTGGATAGGGATGTATCCAGTGGATTGTGTTATCCACCTTTCGAACTGCCCGGGCCAGGCCGATATTTTTTTTTAAATTAATTCAGGGCAAATTTAACACGGCTAAAAATATAAAGAGTTTCAGACGTCTCTTTTCGGCTATGTTTCATATTTAAAACCGGGCATTGTTAAATGTTAAATGTTGAATGTTTATAGTGGTCGATGCACTTCGCTACAACTCGCTAGTTTTCAGGCATGCCACTTAAACTGAATGAAACAAATATTGCAAATAAACATAACAGGCTTAAAAATCCCAACTGGTGGGAGGCAGACCAGTTGGCTATTTACAAGCATGACCGAGGAGTGTGCGATGCGTTTTAGCGTTGTTTATAAAATGAAAATGAAAATGTACTTTCTTCTCCACTCTTTGCGCTTTACAACAAAACAGAGCACTGTTAAGGTCTTTTCCAATCAATTATCAGTTATCTACTTTTTTAGCCATGCAATGTCACGTACCCACATTATATAGCATCCCAGTGGATGGCTCAATTGCCATGACATCTCCAGTGTTACCACTCATTATAGACCACGTGAGCAGTGCGTTATATCCGACATCAGCATCTGATGCAGTAACGTTCAGAAATCGCGAACCAACAGGGAGACTTTCCGATACAATCACAGTGAAAAGACTTTCACTGAAGACCGGTGAATTGTCATTGACATCTAAGATCGTGACGTTGACTGACACAGTTTCTGTCAGGGGAGGGGAGCCTTTGTCGGAGGCTTGTATTATCAGTGTGTAAAACGGAATATCTTCACGATCTAAGGACTTGTTGGTGCTGATCATGCCTGACGGGTTTACCTGTGGAAAAGAGAACATTGATTAGCTGAAAAATCACTCACTTCTCAGTTCTCTCTTTGTTTTCAGGATGATTTATGGAAGCCGTACCTTAAATTGTGTTTTTGCATCTCCGCCGACAATTGAAAACTCTATTTCAGCGTTCACGCCGACATCCACGTCAGAAGCGTGCACCGGTATGACGTCAGTGCCAGGGGGCGTGGCTTCTGAAATGCTTGTCAAATACAAAGTCGGGCTGAACACGGGTTTGTTGTCATTAGTGTCCGAAATGAACACACGCACTGCGCACAAACCGGTTAGCGGAGGGGTGCCGCCATCATGGGCTGTGATTGACAGATAGTAAGTGTCTTTGGTTTCTCGATCCAGGCCTGTCAGTGCGGAAATCACGCCAGAGGAACTGTTGATGCTGAACTTGCCGACGCCATCTCCACCTAAAGAAAAATTGGAATTTTATCTTGCTGAGCACTGAACAAGCGTAATCCAGATTTTTTTTTGTGCGTTTCCGTTTTGGAGATTCGAAATTCGATCTGAAAAATAACTCTATACGTGTGTTGTTAGCTCAACAGAAATCAAGGAAGTCCCCGAGATTGATGGTTTGATAACACTTGTTGCTAATTAAACTTTTTGTTGCTAATTAAACTTTAATTCATTCAAATTAATTTTCTCCAATCAAAACGGTTCCGTTACGAATCCAAAGCCCCTGGAGACGGATTTAGAAACTGTAAGAATTCTCCTTCATGTAAGACACACTGAAAGGGATCTCGTACCTGTGATACTAAAAGAGTGCTCAGCGTTGGTTCCAATGTCAGCATCTGTGGTGATGACCCGGGTAACTGAATACCCCGTGGGAACATTCTCTGGGATAGTGGACGTGTAAATCTCCTGGGTGAATAACGGGGGGTTGTCATTCTCGTCGGTAATGTGAATAGTTAACTGCAAAGTAAAGAGATTAACCAGTGAAAAATCTGTAAAAACAAATTTGGGGGAACATTTTACTGTGTGGTGGAACCCTGTCTCACGGGGTTCCAGTGTACATGCACTAATTGTTGTTTTATGGATTTTTCAGAGAACTTTTTGGCATTTTAGAAAGTGAAATACCATCGTACCTCCATTGTAGTAGATCTTCGGTCGCTCTCTTTTAAGGCCCTGTCCTGGACAGTGAGGTTCAGCACATAAAGGTCCCTTGTTTCTCTGTCTAGCTCAGCCCCCACAAAAACCCATCCCTCTTGAAGGTCTATAGTGAAGTCTATTCCTCCATTCAGTCCACCACTGATGGTATATTCGAGCTGGCCGTCGAGTCCTGTGTCCGAGTCGGTTGCGTTTGCGTCAAACACTTGGGAACCTGGGAAGATAATATAACACGGTCTTATGGTCACGATTACTTGAAGGAATAATAACATTTCAACATCACACTTCCTTATAGTTAGTTGCTCTCGACTTTTGAGTCTGGAGATGAAACCCCAATGTGTGACCATTCATATGAAAGCTATTGAGCAGTACTTTCATGTGGTACTTTTTATTATGCTGTACAAGGTGGTTCTAACTTTTAAGTCTGTGGATGAAACCCTAGTTTGTGACCATTCAAATGAAAGCTATTGAGCAGTACTTTCATGTGGTACTGTTTATTATGCTGTACAAGGTGGCTCTAACTTTTAAATCTGTCTATGAAACCCTAGTGTGTGACCATTCAAATGAAAGCTACTGAGCAGTACTTTCATTTGGTACTTTTTATTATGCTGTACAAGGTGGTTCTAACTTTTAAGCCTGTGGACGAAACCCCAGTGTGTAACCATTCAAACGAAAGCTATGGTACCGAGTACTATCCTGCACAAAGTGGTTTTAAAACTTTAATTATAAGTCCGCGCATGAAAAACCTCCCATCTAGTTCTATAGAAATGAGCGTCAAATTTTCTCACCAACAGCCGTAGCTTCTGAGATAGTGACAGTGTAATTCGAGAACTGGAAAGTGGGTGTGATCTCGTTTACAGCTTTGACATACACGGTTACTATGACAACAGTCACGTGACTTGGCACACCATGGTCCCTCACGTGAATCTCTAAGCTATATTCACTTTGGCTTTCATGATCTAGGTCATCATTTACGAGCACTGTACTGTTGTCCATTCTAAACTTGTCCTCAGGGTCTCCACTGACGATTGCGAACGAGAGATTGCCATTGGGTCCCAGGTCTTCGTCTGTGCAGGTGAGGGACGTCACGTTTGAGCCACGAGGAAGATCTGAAATCGATATAAAATTATTGATTAGTATTAAAATGAATTAGATCTTGGAAAGTAATTAAACCTGACTGGAGGGGTAGACTTCCATTATTGACGATTCTTCTTATTTTGCGGTGTCCAAAAATGTCTTTGCTTTCTCCAGAGACTACTTTGTCTTAAATGTTTGATGGAGTTTTCATTTAGTTCAAATTTTCTTTGATGCAACGCGCGATAAAATTATAATGGGTGATGGCTTGCATTACAAGTGTTTTCTGTTTGTTTGTTTGTTTGTTCTTATTTTGCGGTGTCCAAAAATGTCTTTGCTTTCTCCAGAGACTACTTTGCCTTAAATGTTTGATGGAGTTTTCATTTAGTTCAAATTTTCTTTGATGCAACACGCGATAAAATTATAATGGACGGTGGTTTGCATTACAAGTGTTTTCTGTTTGTTTGTTTGTTTGTTTTGTTGTTGTCTCAGTTGTGTTTGTCTTTGTTCGTATTTGACGTTTTGCAATTGTAGTTTTGTTTGTTTGTTTGCTTGCTTGTTGTTGTTGTTTCAGTAATGCGAGCTGTTTTCTGGCGTGGCAGTTCTTGATTAAGTTGTTTTTTAGTTGCAGTTATTTTCGCAGTAATTGAGTAGTTGCGGCTTCAAATCTCTTACTTGCGCTAGTGAGTAGAAGAGGTCCTGCAGATAACTCCTACTGTTCCAGAGGTCCATAATTAATTTTATTCCGGTGACCTCCATCTAGGTTTAAAGTCTAGGCCTTTTACTTACCCTCCAAGATTTCCTCAGCAAATAAAGTTGTTGTACACACAGGTGGATTATCATTGACGTCTTCAACCGAAATGTACAGCGTCACGTTTGAATATTTGACATCCGGGGAACCTAGAGCACTGTCCTCTACCCTGAGACTGATGTTATACTGGTCAGTGGTCTCTCTATCAAGGCTCGAGATGAGCACCAGTCTCCCCGCCACCTCGTCCAAGTAGAATTTGTTATTGTCATTGCCGCTGACAAGAATGTACCGCAGGTCCCCGTGGATTCCGGTGTCATTGTCCGTGACTTGTGCATGAAACACGACGGTTCCTTGGAAGGGAAACGTCAAAATATTACTACTGACTGCCGATAAAATCTTGAGCTAATATATAATATCTTATTTCTATCACCTTTTAATTTTCGTTCGTTTATTTCATTCCACTGCTCGAACTTTGATCTCACTCTAAAATCCTCAACACTTTATGTTCACGATCATTTACAGGAAAGAGAATTCTGCCCACTCCCAGTCGTTACCTAGTAGTATTAACGTTCCAAGAAGACAATTCCCTTGTTTTCCCCTGTATCTGGTACCTTGGTGACTTCAGCCAGTCTCTCTTCAAATCTATTGCGCTTAGACCAGATCGTCTAAATATCTCTCTACTATAACTCTAACTTTCCTTTTGGCATTAAAATGCCCCTCTTGTAGTTAACCCAACGAGAACTTAGTTATTTTCCCCTTGATGTTACTTGATAATATAATAAAATGTTATACGTAATATATCAAACACGAAAGACCGTGTTTGACCACATTTCCAAACACCGAGAAGAGGGTTGAAAATACGAAGCGTAGCGGAGAATTTTTGGCGAACTTCGAGGTGTTTGGAAATGTGGTCAAACTCGGTCTTGAGTGTTTGATATATCTTCTCAATCGAAACTAAAACTAAGGAGAAAACGGAGAAATAAAATCATAAAAATCTATGTTAATTATGATCAGATATGCAAACACCGTCACGGTCATGATTTCCTTTGTTTTAAACTTGATGAATTGTTAATGAGTTTGAGATTTTTTTTCCTTACCTAAGGTAATGTTCTCCAAGACGTCAATCTGGTAGAGCTGGTCATCAGCAATAAACATAGGCGCATGCTCATTGACGGGGAGAACACTAACAGTCACCGAGACATTGGTTTCCTTCACAGGCGAGCCGGAATCAGTAACGGTCAGCAGTAGACTGAAAAGCGATTCGTCCTCGATGTTAAGTGACTTATCGAGTCTCACTTCGCCCGTGGACGACACGTTGAATTTGCCTTTGCTATTTCCTTGCGCTATCTGATAGGACAGAAGCGAAGCTGAGTCTATATCTGTACAATTGGCTGAAAACACAACTGTCCCAACAACGGTAGACTCCAACAAAGTAACCACCTCAGCGCTCTGTGTGCACGAGGGGGCGTTATCATTGAGGTCCATAACACTTATGTTCACGATCGCCAGGCTCCATTTTGTTAGGGGCGCGGGAGCGTTGTCGGATGCGCGCACCGTTAAGCTGTACCGAGAAAGCACCTCGTGGTCCAGTGGCCTCCTAAGGGTCAAAGTCCCATCGCTGCTATCAAGTAGGAAACTGTTATCCTTGTTGCCGCTTGTTATAGAGTAGGACACGAGACCTTGAACTCCGCTGTCTCCGTCTTGAGCCTGCACTGTTAACAACGTTGTACCCACAAGGGTATTCTCGGTCACGGACAAGTTGTAGAAGCCATTTTGTGTAAATGTTGGGGTGTATTCATTGATAGCAGTGACGATGATGTAAATTGGCACTTCAGAAGAAAGTTGCGGAGAACCGTTGTCTGTGACAGCAATGATCAAGTCGTAGTATGTCTGTGACTCCCTGTTGAGGGCGCTGGACAAAGATAGGATTCCTGTGGTGGAATCTACAACAAATGTAGAGTTTGTGTTTCCTGGAAAACAACGACTCTGATTTTAGTGAATGCCGACTGGAAGTACCGTGATTAACTGTAGCAGCTGCATGAAAAAAGCTTTACAAAAATCACTCAACTACATGTTTTGTTATGGCGTTACCTGAGGATATGTTGTACGTGATAACTGCGTTTTGTCCCTGGTCAGCGTCACTACACTGTAGGCTCACCACCGTACCATTGACCGTGAAGTTCTCCGCCATCTCAATGACGTAAGAGAAGTGGTTACAAAGCGGTGCGTTATCGTTGACGTCAAGCACTGTTACGTTAACTGTTGCTGTGGTCGATAAGCTAGGCGTGCCTTGATCTGTGGCTTGCACGATCAAAGAATACATCTCTGTTGTTTCACGATCGAGCTGCTTTCGCATTTCGATCACGCCCGACTTAGGATCGATTTGGAATCTTCCTTCCGAGTTACCATCGATGAACGTGAAGACGATGAGGCCGTCGGGTCCATGGTCGTTATCTGTGGCTGCCACTGTAGCAATTGTGGTGCCAATGGCGGTGTCCTGAAATAAAATACAGAGCGCCAGCATGAATGGTTGGACATGAGCAATTAAGGGTAACAGTCTTGTGACTAACAAACCTGCCTTTGGCAGAAACTAAATCATAATGGCGAATTTTTTATGCCTATGTCCAAACCATCTATTGTTAAACAATTTCAAGTTAAGGCAAAGATTAATCCTAACTCCGACCGATCCATACAATGGCGAGATTTTACTGCTTATATAATGATTTCTCTAACCCTCGATTTTTGGAACCTCCCTATAACTCGAACCAAAAGTCGTTTCTCTCTCCTCAGTCAAACACTGTAATTGTACCCCCGATTTTTCAAACCAATTTTCGTTTTCCTTGGAGGTTCTTGGAGGAAATTGTCCTCGGCCTCCCCATCAAGATTGCATGAACTCGCTATCATTTACACCCTTTTTAATTGCTTCTGACATACCTCTAACTCCGGGATCTCGGATGATTTTCCTCTCATGCAGGGTTGGGGAGCAATGTATGAATTTAAAACGTTTGTTTGATTGATTGATTGATTGATTGATCGATTGATTGATTGATTGATTGACTGACTCACTGACTGACAGACTGAATGACTCACTGACTGACTGACAGACTGACTGACTGACAGACTGACAGACTGACTGACAGATTTACTGGATGACTCACTGACTGAAAGACTGGATGACTTACTGACTGACTGACATACTGAATGATTGATTGATTGATTGAACACTGCGACTCACCTCTGAATGGCTGACTGAATATGTCGAGTTACTAAACACCGGCGTAAACTCATTCGTTCCGGTGACCTGGATACTAACAGTTGTGTCAGTGGAAAACTGGGGCGAGCCTCCGTCCGTGACAGTTACCACTAACAGATAAGACTTTACAGACTCAAAGTCAAGAGCCGTAAGTGTCGTCACCAGACCATTTCCATCCACAGAAAACACAGTTGTATTACCTAAAGGGGTAGGATATACTGTTATTTTCATAAGAAATAATGTTGGATAGAAATGTTAGGCTTATATCAGATGTTATCCTACAAATGTGCAAAGACGGCCGGCGTGCACTGCAATGTTGAAGGTATTGTGGGTAGTGGTAGATCAAATTTCAAGAAATTTAAGCACGACTAAAGGAAAACCCTGAATACTTTTTTTATTGGAATCAATGATCGCGCTTTCCTTCGCACTGAAACACTATGAACAAAAGTGAGTCGACCAAGGAGTTGCGAGCTAACAACCACTACCCATGTTACCTTTCTTGATCATCACGTATGCGTTTACGCTTTTGTAGGGGAACTTTTCTCCAAACTTCTATAACTTTTTGAGATAAGTTGACTTAGTGTATCAACTGGATTCTGATGAGTGCAGAAATGAAGAGAGTCCTGTCACGTTTGAACTCTGAAAAACACCGTCAAAGATTTACTGAAACGTTTCATACAGCTTTACGTGGCCCCTAATGATCATGTTTGTGCCTACTTTTTATTATTGGCTAATACGCGAAAAATTGATGCTATTAATGTTTCCTGGAATAGGGTAAGGCATTTCCGCGTGGAAAGAAAGTTTGCTTTTTCTAATTTAATTTCGCTTTCTCGTAATACTAACCTGTGGTAATCGTGTACGAACTGATTATATTTGGTGAGAGATCTGTATCAGAACAGGTCAACTGCGCAACCGTGGCTCCTATAGCAACAGACTCGTTGATTGACGCGCCGTAAATACAAGGAAGACAGCTGGGTGCATTGTCGTTAATATCCGTAACTGTAACTACAAGCGTGGCTGTGGACGACAAGGGAGATATCGGATCTTGATCAGCGGCTTCAATTACAAGGCTGTATGAGCCTGTTTTCTCTCTGTCCAGCGGACGCTTCACAAAAACCAAGCCATCGGTGGGTCTGATGGTAAACGCGTCATTGACATTCCCGGATGTAATTGCGTAGTTAACCAGGCCATATACTGAGCCGATGTCGAGATCAGTGGCTGTGACATTGGACACTAGTGTTCCCACAGTGGCGTTCTCGGGTACCAGGGTGGTATATGATCCGCCATTTGTAAACTGTGGAGTGTGTTCATTAACATCTGAAATAAAACAAAATGATAAGAATAGATTTATTTTATGTGCTTTCATCAATGTAACAGTATTTTACTACAGCACCTTCTCAAACTCATTAATAATTCATCAAGCTTAAACGAAGGAAATCATGACCGTGACGGTGTTTGGATATAAAGTATTGATTTTTATGATTTTATTTCTCCGTTTCCTCCTTAGTTTTAGTTTCGATTGAGAAGATATATCAAACATTCGAGACTGTGTTTGACCACATTTCCAAACACCTTGAAGTTCGTCAAAAATACTCCGCTGAACGTCATTTTTTGAAGCCTCTTCTCTGTGTTTGGAAATGTAGTCAAACACGGTCTTTCGTGCTTGATATATTTCGTACAGAACACATAGGTATAGCAATCAAATGGCGACGAGTGAAATTGGGGGATAATTTCACACGCGTTTTGCGAAAATTCTTATAATTTCCCGAACCTTTCAAGTGAAATTATTTCCTTATTTTACCAGTATACCATTTGATTGCCTTTTACTATCATGGGTGACAAATTACGCTCACAATCGTAGGTTTTCCATAGTAATTATATACGAAAAAAAAAAAACAGTTGTTGCAATTCGCCGAAATAAAACCGCTGATCATTTAGTGCAAAGAGACAAGATCCCGAGCTAACCACTTTGAAAGAACAAGGAAACAACTTGAAGTTTTAAACTTTCGTCTCTTAGTTTCATCAATTCTTTTTCGACCAACTTACCAGTAACCGTGACAGATACTTTCGCGATACTGGAGAGCGGTTGTGTAGAATGCCTGTCCGTAGCTGTGATCTCAAGAGAATAGAAAGAAGTTGTTTCTGCGTCGAGTGCTGTCGCCACACTCAAGAGGCCCTCATCTGTGATGGAGAAATCCGTGCCAGTATTGCCTGACGAGTAAAAAATGTAACAGTATCTTACGTGGGTCTTATGCAGTGTCATGTAGGTATTTACGACAAATTAGGCAGTGAAATTCATTTCTGAGCGTCTAGAGTACAAATTGAAACAAATGCGAAAATTAACAAAGGTCTCGAGAAGGACATGGTGGTTTTCTGTGAGGAATATTTGGAGGTTTTGGATTGAAACAACGAAACAATTAGTTTTTAAAGAGGCTACTTTGCTGCATCTGCGGATACGTAAGGCACTTAAATCACCAAATATAAACTAACTGCCTTTGCGAGTTTAGGAGGTTGGTGTTTCGACCGTTAGTTCTTCGTCGAAGCAAGTTGTTTGAGGGACGAGGATTGATGTGGAGTGTATAAAAGTCTGCTGTCAGTTTAAAATCTGGCCTTTTTCTAATTTGCATCGCAGTTACGAACGCGATTTCTTGGATAGCATGTTTTAAAGCGTTTTTTCTTAGTTGCTATTAGGCCTCACGCAAAGGCACGGTATTGGTGGCACAGTCCTCGTAAAATACGTTTTGTTCAGAAAAATAACTTAAATTATATAAATTGCAATAGAGCGGTTTTTAATTCAGTGTCGTAAAACCAAAACCAAACCAATATTACTTACCAGTTAGACTACTAAGCCAACCTCAAACCACGGTAAAACCAAAACCAAAACCAAAACCAAAGTAACTGCCTGATTACTTTCGACACTCAATTGAAAACTGCTCTATTTAGAGAGGAAGCCATGCTAGCCCTAACTAGTTTTCATGCCGGTCTTCTATCGAGGTCGAATTAGAACCTGCTCCAGTTCGCGTTCTGGCACTTGGCAATGAACGAAACAAAAGAACCATAGCGGGATTTGAGATATTTACCTGACGTTATTGCCATAAGAAACTCTCCATTTGTACCAGAATCAGCATCTGCGCATGTCAAGTTCAGTATGTTAGTAAACACGGCCGTATCTTCTGCTATGGTCACGCTGTACACCGTTGGAGTAAACGTCGGTGCGTTATCATTCTCGTCACGCAACATCACAGTCACATTTACACTTGACGATTTAGGAGAAGCTAAATCTCCATCAGTGGCGCTCACCGTCAAGACATATGACGTTTCAGCTTCGTAGTCCAACGCCTGCTTTAATACAATAGCACCGCTGACCTCGTCAATGTAGAATGGCGAACTGCTGGCCAGGGAGAACGCAAGCTCACCCTGCGAGCCAGCGTCACTATCTGTAGCAGTGACTGACAGAACAGTAGTACCTATAGTTGTGTTCTCTGAGATCGTCACATTATAATAAGACTGGCTAAATGCGGGCGCGTGTTCGTTCAGCGGAGTCACAATAACGTCAACGTGTGACAGAGAGGCGAGCTGTGAGTTGATTGGTGAACTACTGTCACGTGCCTCTACTGTCAAGGAATATGATTGAGCGTCTTCAAAGTCGAGGTTTCTCGCTGTGGTGATTTTGCCGGTGCTGGAAGATATGTTGAAATAGCTGTCAGGGTCTCCGTCTGTTATGCTGTATACAAGGGCTGAATTAGCACCCAGGTCCTGGTCGGTACATTGTAGTTGAGTGACATTGGACCCAGCGGTGGTGTTTTCATAGAATTCGACCTGTAACAAGAAATTTTAAATCTTCACTTGCTCTCGTTATTGTACTATTTAGTGGTAAGGCAGGAACGCAACGGCCAAGCTATGAAAACACGCAAAAAACTGCTTGCACATCGGCTCTTGGTACTTGACCAATACGCTTGGCTTATTTCTAAATGACGCCTATAGCGTCCCTCATTGGCTGTTGCTTGCGCCCGAAAATTCAAAACTGACCAATCGGAGGTAGGGATCCTTCCAGGGATAAGTCATCAGAATGGAATGTTTCCGGTCCAGTCTCACGCTTCTCTATCGAGCGGCTGATAAATTGAGCGCACAGGAAGAGATAGTTACTCAGGCTAAATTCAAACAAGAAAATTTAAAAAATGTTCTTCTGTTGAATTATACGTCACCTTGTAATGATCAGGAGAGAACACAGGATCATTGTCATTCACATCAGTTACAGTAACAGTGACATTCACAGATGCTGTTTTTATGTCAGCTATGTTAGGATCTCGGTCACTAGCCGTGACAGTTAACGAGTAGGTATCGACATCTTCTCTGTCCAGACTCGTCTTCACTCGGATCACACCACTGTTGGTGTCGATATAGAACGGAGCTGATAATGGCGTCATGGAGTATGTCACTTCACCTGAAATATTATACAAACATCAATATACCATACCTCATCAAGAGTTCCATGAACTCCTTATTTCTTCTACCTAGACCGCTTCANGTGCTGGAAGATATGTTGAAGTAGCTGTCAGGGTCTCCGTCTGTTATGCTGTATACAAGGGCTGAATTAGGACCCAGGTCCTGGTCGGTACATTGTAGTTGAGTGACATTGGAACCAGCTGTGGTGTTTTCATAGAATTCGACCTGTAACAGGAAATTTTAAATCTTCACTTGCTCTCATTATTGTACTATTTAGTGGTAAGTCAGGAACGCAATGGCCAAGCTATGAAAACGCGCAAGAAACTGCTTGCACATCGGCTCTTGGTACTTGACCAATACGCTTGGCTTATTTCTTAATGAAACCTATGGCGTCCCTCATTAGCTGTTACTTGCGCGCGAAAATTCAAAACTGACCAATCGGAGGTACGGATCCTTCCAGGGATACGTCATCAGAATGGAATGTTTCGGGTCCAGGCTTACGCGTCTCTATAGAGCGGCTGATAAATTGAGCGTACAGGGAGAGATGTTTACTCAGACTGAATTCAAACAAGAAAATTAAAAAAATGTTCTTCTGTTGAATTATACGTCACCTTGTAATGATCAGGAGAGAACACTGGATCATTGTCATTCACATCAGTTACAGTAACAGTGACATTCACAGATGCTGTTTTTATGTCAGCTATGTTAGGATCTCGGTCACTAGCCGTGACAGTTAACGAGTAGGTATCGACATCTTCTCTGTCCAGACTCGTCTTCACTCGGATCACACCACTGTTGGTGTCGATATAGAACGGAGCTGATAATGGCGTCATGGAGTATGTCACTTCACCTGAAATATTATACAAACATCAATATACCATACCTCATCAAGAGTTCCATGAACTCCTTATTTCTTCTACCTAGACCGCTTCACCTTCTTATAACCTCCCCAGGTATTACAGTAAAAATACAGGTATATCTCTAATAAGCCTATTAAAATTTTGATAACGCCGCCGCATAGCATCAATTGACAGCTAAGCTTTCCAATCATTCCTCTTTCTATTAACTAGTGGTAAGCCCTCCTGTCAGACTAATCTAGCCTTCGAGCTGGATGTCGTGTTTGGGTTTTCCACGTTTCTTTGCATTCTTTCTCATTTGTCTTTTTGGGGAGGCTTCTATGTATTGGCTTTCGCGTGAGCGAGTTACACGCCAAGACTTTCTTCTTCTATAAGCCCCCTTTCTAGGAGACTCTTACTTATAAAAACGTATATATGGAGTTAAAGAATAGGGTTTCGCTTTACTCGCTTTATTTATGAGTAGTCTTCCGATCAAATCCAATCAAGTTAGTTACCGCCCTCTTTTATCAACAGCTTCTTCTTGGTCAATGTTGGCTTTCCCACATTCCGCAAAATAGCTAATGATATCTGCTAGGGTAATTTATTTCAGTCATATACTGAGCAATAGCCTCTTCCAGGCGTTCAGTTAGTTGGGGCGCAGCGCGAAAAAATAAATATAAAAAAAGCGCTTCCTTTTTTCGCGCGCTGTTTTTCGCGCTGCGCCCCAACTAACTGAACGCCTGGAAGAGGCTAACTGAGCAATATACAATTAATCAAAAATATCAAACAAACACCGGTAATAAATATTATACACAAACGCCTTAAACTTGACGTTTCGTATGCTGTTTATGTTATATTCTTAATCACACTACCATAGCCCATGAAAAAGATTAAATAGAATTTGGTCAACTGTTAGCCTTGTCAAATCATTCTGCCTTCCCTCGCTATTTTACCTTGTAATCCATCATCTTGATCAGTAGCTGTTACCCTCAGAATTGACGTCCCCACAGCAGTATCTTCTGCTACACTCGTCGAATATTGAGCTGAGCTAAACACCGGCTCGTGCTCGTTCACCGCAGTAACGTCAATGCTTATTTCCATGACGACGGATTTTTGAGATGACGATGGACTGCTCGAGTCACGTGCCAGTACTGACAGCGCGAAACTGGGCGTGGTCTCGTAATCTAGCCACGCGGCTGTGGATAAAGTGCCGTTGGAATCGATAGTGAAGCTAGTGTTGGTGTTCCCAGATGTGATACTGTGAAAATGTACAAGAGTGGTCAAAGTCTAATTTCTCCTTGCAAATTCAATACGTTGTCAAGACGACAGACAATGAGAATATAGGAAATCATCAACTTGGGAATATTGTCTTGATGTACTAAAAAATTTTCTCAACTGATATATAACGAAACGTACACTAATTGGTAAGGAGAATTGATCAGTGCTGCCTAGCCTCCTGTGCAGACGATCTTTGGACTCGTCACGCAATCTTTCTTCCCCCACAAACGTTTCTTGTAAAGGGGTGCGTGCGTGACGTCGTGACAAGTCATAAGGACGTCTGGGAAGGAGGCTATTAGTTGGCCCGAGTATTCAGAAATTTCCTACAGCAAGACATTTCGTCGAAGCAACGCTACAATGCTTAGAGCAGTCAACAGCAACATAAGAAGTGACAAAAACAAATTCGTTTGGACAGGTGCTTACATTCAACTCAGTGAGCCGTGAATGTAAAAAGAATAAATTGATAAATTAATGTAGGTTTAAGCCTGTCATAACGAACGAAAATCATGAACAGAATGATTCAACGCTCAGTGCAAAAAGAATCCGACTGTGATGTGATACAAGCAAAAAATCAGCTAAAAGATGCAAGTGTGGCGTCATTACCTATAGACTAAAAGTCCATTGTTGCTTTCGTCATCATCAGAGCACGTGACACTCAGCACACTAGTTCCCAGGCCAGAATCTTCCCTGACGCTGGCACTGTATGATGTTGGGCTACACACCGGTTCATTGTCATTGGAGTCCGTGACGGTGATTGACACGGTGGCATTGACAGGGTTTTCTCCATCTGTAGCCTCGATTACAAGCGTGTGTGACGAGACTACCTCTCGATCCAGGCTCCTCATTAGCTGTATCGCTCCGTTGTCGGCGGATATGTGAAAAAAGAAACCGGTATTTCCAGAAATGATGGAATAAATCACCCTTCCGTGCGCATGTCCGGAATCGTCTCCGTCGTTCGCTGTTACCCGGAGGAGCTCTGTGCCTAGGCTTGTGTCTTCGGCGACTGAGACCGAATAACTACCACTGCTGGTAAATATTGGAGCATGCTCGTTGACAGCAGACACAGATATCTTGACAGACACCTCCGTGGACAGGCTAGGGACACCGCCGTCCGTCACGGTGATTACCAGGGAGTATGACGTGACTGTCTCGTAATCCAGTGTATCTGTCACGCTCACCACACCGCTACTTGATACGTTAAATTTTCCTGAATTATCAAAGGCAAAGGTTGATGATCTTAGATTTGACATACTTGACAGAACTGCAATTCTGATACACCATAAAAATATGTACCAAGATAATGATTAAAACTTGAACCCTAGCTTCTTGCGAGGTTGTTCCTTTATTAATGGAAAAAGGGTCAGAATTATAGCAGCTCTCGTAAGCTGCTGTTGTTCTATTATGGTAGCAGCTGTTATTGTTTTAAGGCTGGGGGCATTGATTCTGTCGTTTGTTCTATTGTTCTCTAAAAGGGTATCGAACCATTCATGTCAGACCTTACGGAAGATCCTACCCGATCCAAAAGGGTGCTTACCATAGTTTTATCACTCTACTAAAGAGTCCACTAGATTGATTACGCTAACAGTTGTCAGAAGGTTCAAACAGTATCTGGATAAGGGATACTGTGTGATTCCCGGACTCAATTTAAGGTGGGAACTTAATTAATCTAACCATTACGATTAGAGAAGAGAGCTTACGGTTCAGAGCACGTTTACACAAACTCTATTGCTTTTTTTGGTTGATGTAATGATAACCTTACCGTCCGAATTTCCTGAGGAGATAGTGTAACTCAACTGTCCATCACTTCCGCTGTCCTGATCACTACAATTCAGTGTGGCCACGACAGCCCCAACAGCTGCTGACTCCAGTACTGCAGGCGTCAGCAATGTTGGAAGGCATTCAGGGTAATTATCATTCACATCCACCACAATAACCGTCACGGTAGCCTGGGCACTAAGTGGGCTCCCTGAGTCTCCGTCCGTGGCGGTAACTGTGAGAGTGATCTGGGAAATGGTCTCGTAATCCAAACTAGACACCAATTCAACCACTCCAGTGTATTTATCAATCACGAAATTCCCGTATGTATCACCTGCAGTTACCGCGTAGGTAACCTCGCCTTGTGAACCGGCATCTGCGTCACTAGCCGATACGGTGATGACGTTATGTCCTAGTGCCAGGCTCTCAGCGGCTGTCACGTTGTAGATATTGTTGGGTGTGAATTGTGGAGAGTGTTCATTGACGCCAGTGATAATGATAATGACAGTGGTAGTTGTTGCAAGCGGAGGTGAGCCAGCATCTGTGGCTTGTACTGTTATTTTGTAGTCTTGTGTAGTTTCATAATCTAAAGACGCGCTCGTGATTATCTCGCCAGTCGATGAGTTCACCACAAAGGCTCCGCCATCTCCAGACAGAATACTGTAGGTCACCTAAACATATCACAAAAACAAACATATCACATAAATACCGTTATATTTCATAATAAGCCTCCCGAAAAACAAGCTCCCCAAAATTCGATCCTTTTAATAATATGACCGGCATCCGCCTCGAATATACGCCTATTAGTGTCGTTGAGTATGTTCAGAGAATTGTGATGTTCAGCTAACGAAAACATCACTTGTTTTGTCCTTTTGGAATATCGTTTATCTGATTTATACTGATGCATCTAAAATTTTTGCACTGTCTCAAATTGGAAATCCTTTCCAAAATAGCGTAGAAGTAAAACATGATTGATACGCTAGATCCAATTTCGAGATGAAAATGAATCCATGGATCAGAGATATTCTTGGCGACGTGTTTAGAGACACAAACACAGGGACTGCTCCAAGCCTGTTCAGTTTGTTTGTGATGCTTCTCAGCAATGGCAAAATCATGGCGTAAAAATGCGTGAAAACGAGAGGCGAAGTAATTCTAGCCTCTAATAATTCGCTCTTTCACGATAAGAACCGCTGAATACACAGACTAAATAAATCCATGAAAGCTCAGTGATAATACAAATTTCCTTCTTTAGTTTTTCCTCGTACTGCATAAGCTTTGAATCATGTTTTAAAATTAGAGTCAACAAACCTCTCCATTTGAGCTAATATCCAAATCAGGACACGACACGCTGATCACGGAAGTAGCAACAGCCGCGCTTTCCGCTACTGACGCCGCGTACACAGCCTCTCCACATACGGGACTATTATCATTGACGTCACTAACCGTGACGTTAACGGTAGCCAATGAGTCGCGACCCCCAGAATCCGTAGCGGTGATGGTAAAGGAGTAAATGTCCTGTGATTCACGATCAAGAAGGGCATTGCTAGAAATAACTCCAGTGTTTTCATGGACGGTGAAGTTAACACTGTCTGCTCCTGTGTTAGAATAAAATGTTACAATATTAAAACAGGTCCAGCACGATATCTAGTCAGATGTGCAATTCAATACTCTCAGATCAAAGGAAATTTGAAATAATAATAATAATAATAATAATAAAAACAGTTAGGCAATAATGAGCCAAAAAGGAAAATGGATGCTTAAGATTGGGATTGATTGCAAACGAAAAACTTGAAAAATTAAGGCTACATCTTTTGAGGTGCATTCTCAACGGTGGGGCTCCTTAATATCTTAAGCATTCAAGAATAGAGGCTTTTACGCGAACATTTTTATTCCCTAGAACACAGATTTCAGTTCACCTCAATCTGTGGCTAGGTTTATGACAAGTCACTGATTCGCAGACGGTAACATAGTATCTTCATAAAAGTAGTACATGAAGATATAACTATGTATGCATTACGGACCTACGTAGTGATTCTATTTCACTTACACTACAGTTTTATTACACTTTATACATGTATATACGATAGCAAAGCGTCCACAGCCGCACACAGACGCTGAAGACAAAATAAAACACGCCCTTAGTAACTCACCTGACAAAGCGTACGTAACAACATCTCCCAGATCCGCGTCACTCGCCGTTATCCTAACAACACTCGTACCAGGACTCACATCCTCGGCCACGCTAGCACTGAACGATGCACTGCTAAATACTGGATCATTATCAATTTCGTTAATCACTGTAATTATTATAGTGGTCGTGCCTGTGTTATTAGCGCTGTCTGTTGCTGTTAGAGTCAGCGAGTAGCCTTGGACAGACTCGTAGTCAATGTTACTCCCGGTTTGTATCAAACCACTGCTTGTCACAGTAAAGTGTGAACTGTTAGTGCCTGAAAGTGAGTACGCCAGCAAGCTGTCAGCGGCATCTCCATCTGAGGCCGTCACGGTCATGACAGAGGAACCAATCACAACGTTTTCAGTCACGTGACCGTTGTAAGAAGCGCTGTTGAATGTAGGCGCCTCGTCATTAAGGTCGGTGAGAGTCACCGTAATACTGGACAGCGTTTTCCCGCCGTTTCCATCGTCCGCTTGCACGGTTAGTACGTAAGACGGCGTCTCTTCGTAATCTAGAACCACAGCAGTGCTTACCACGCCATTTGCACTGTTAACAGCGAAATCTGAACTGGTAATCCCAACAAAACAGTAAACGATAGTGTCATTATCTTGATCACTTGCGGATACTTGCAAGATACTAACAGAAGATGTGACGCCTTCATTCACTGTTAAAGAGTACGATGCATTAAAAAACACTGGAGGGTCGTTGATATCATTGACTGTTATAGTTAGGGGTGTGGCCACCGTTGTTGTACCGTCCGAAACTGAGATAGTCAATGAGTATGAACTGAAGCTTTCAAAGTTGATTTCGCTGGCCGTTGATATGACTCCAGTGATAGAGATGACAAAGTCGGAGCTGTTTGTTCCCGAGAGTGCATACGTAAGGGTCGAATTTTCATCTTCGTCTGAGGCTGAAGCCAGAACAACTTGTGTTCCGATGTCGATGTTTTCATAGATGGCAGCGCTAAATGGAGTACTCTCAAACGAAGGCGAGTCGTTTTGGTCGATAACTTCCACAGTGAGGGTCGAAACGTTAACACCACCTTCACCATCAGAGATAGTGACCGTCAAAACGTAAATGGCTACATCTTCAAAATTCAAAGCCTGCGTTAACGTGACTAGGCCAGTTAAGGAGTGGATCGTGAAGTGGGAGCTTCGTGATCCAGAAAGCGTGAAATGCAGCGTGTCGTTGTCGGGATCAGAGGCGTTAACCGTGAAACCCAAGGCGGAAATATCATTTTCGTTAACTTGTACCGAGTAAGGCGCGTCCAAAAAAGTCGGAGAATCATTCGTGTCAGTGATGGTAATGATCAGCGGTTGACTCACTGTTATGCTGCCATCGCTAACGCTTACAACTAGCGAATAGTAACTCAGGACTTCGTAGTCCAGTTCCTGCGCGGTCAAAATTAACCCTGTAGATGAAGAGATCTGGAAATGAGAGCTGTTTGTGCCCGATAGCGCGTAAGTGAGCGTGTAATTGCTATCTTGATCGGTGGCTGTGATTGGAAGCACGCTTGTACTGTCCGGGAGATTTTCACATACAGAGGTGCTATAGGGTGTGCCTCGGAACACGGGTGCGTCGTTCAAGTCATTCACATTCACCGTCATAGTAGTTGTGGCCAGTCCTCCGCGGCCGTCACTGACCTGGACTGTCAGGATGATCTGAGGGTCTTGTTCATAGTCTAAGGCTTGTGTAAGGCTGACTACACCCGTTTTTGAGTGAATGGAAAAAGAACTGCAAGCAGCTCCGTAAAGTGAAAAAGTAAGCGTGTCCGCTGGACCTAATGACAGAAATTCAATATTAGCAAACGGTCAATGCAGCAAAACTCAATGTGTTGGACTCCGTATTCGTGGTTTTAACCTGACTTTATCACTACCATGTCTGCAGAAATTAGGAAAAGATTTGCAATTAGCTTCTTTATTTGTGCAAAAAAATCTCTGCTCGCTTTGAATTTCTCTGGATTGGCGGCTATCCATCAATAGGGAGGCCGGAATAGGAACGGCTTCATGTGAAGGATTTTAAAGGAGATAAAGGAGCAGCGTCATGGATACCACAGCTTGAAAAAAGTTGGTCACATTTTTCAAGTTTGCCTTTCCCGTTCGTAACCCTTAGTCGTAATTAACCACGCCTGTTTTGCAATTTTTAGTTTGTTGTTACTTCAAGTTTGGTGTCAGTTCAAACCATTCGAGTTCTTGTTTATTTCAAAAATTTGGCGCGTTATCATTATATCTTAAATAATTTCTCAAAACACATGACTTACCGCTGTCCACGTCCACTGCAGTAACATTGCCCACCACTGCACTTGCGTCGTTCTCATCAACACTGACCGTGTACGGCGCGTTAGTAAACTGGGGCGAGTCATTGGTATCCACAACATTGACTGTTAAAGTTGTGTTGACATTTTCTGTGCCATCAGAAACAGTTATGGTGAGAGTATAAAATGGAACAGTCTCGTAATCAAGTATCTGGGCCGTGGTTATAATACCAACTGAAGAAATCGCAAAATGATTACTGTTTGTTCCTGATAAGGTGGATGTAAAGGAATCGCTGGTGTCTTCGTCCGATACTGCTATTTCGTAAACTACACTTCCAGCGTTCAAACTCTCTTCAATGCTTGTAGTGTATGGAGCGCCTAAAATGACAGGCGCATCATTTTGGTTGACAGTTATGACAGTGAGTGACGCTGCAGTTACGCCTCCTATCCCATCAGACACGCGTACAGTCAGCGAATAAAGCGTCTGCAGCTCATAATTCAGCGGCACGCTCAAAGTTATAAGCCCAGTGGCGTAATTCATTACGAAGTCATCACTTCCGGTTCCGCTTAAAGTAAAAGTGATATTGTCATCATCGGGATCTGTAGCGTTGACGTCAATCACAGCTGCCGTGACGTCATTCTCGACAACAGTGACGTTAGCGGGTAGATTCGTGACGTAAGGTGCATCGTTGATGTTTGTTACAGTGATAGTTAAGCCTGCAGTGATGTTTAAAGTTCCGTCACTGACGCTAACGGTCAAAGAGTACGAGTTTACTGTTTCGTAATCAAGTTCTTGACTGGTCTCAATGAGACCGGAAGACGATGACATCTGGAAATGTCCGCTGTTTGTTCCCGATAAGCTGTAGGTTAAAGAGTCGCCGTCTGCATCTATGGCAGTAATTTTAATGACGTTACTTCCGCTGGAAAGATTCTCGCTGATGGTGGCCGAGTAAGGCGTGCCGAGAAACTGGGGAGAGTCGTTAACATCCGAGACAGTGACAGTCAAAGAAGTGGTCGCGACTCCACCATTACTGTCAGACACACGGACAGTTAGAGTGTAAAGTGACGTTACTTCGTAATCCAATGCTGTAGTCAAGGCAACCACTCCAGACGTCAAGTGGATCGAAAACAACTCGCTACCAGATCCCAAGAGAAGAAAGTTTAATGTGTCTGCAGTATCCTGGTCAGAGGCACTTACAGTGAGCAATGAGCTTGTGGTAGTGTTTTCTGCGACGGTGATGGAGTAAGGCGCGGCTACAAAGGTAGGAACGTCATTTTTGTCAGTGATGCTAATGGTGACAGCTTGAGAGATCGAGTCTACTCCGTCTGATACAACAACTGTTAAGGAATAAGAGCTAACAGATTCGTAATCAAGGGTAACAGCGGTCGTTATAATACCAGAGGCTGCGGCAATGCTGAAATCTGAGCTGTTCGTCCCGGACAAGCTGTATGTCAGGTTGTCAGAAGAATCTTCATCAATAGCAGATGCCTGCAACACTATAGTTCCGATAGATACATCTTCATCAAGCGACACGCTGTAAGGAGTCCCTATAAAACTGGGGCTGTCATTCTCATCAGAGACAGTCACGGTCAAAGACGACGTCGCTTGCCCTCCATTCCCGTCACGAACGATAACGCTGAGAACATAACTTGACTTTCGTTCGTAGTTCAACGCCGTGTTCAATGATACCAAACCAGTGGATGACAAGATGGAAAAATCGCCGCTGCCTACCCCTGATAGGAAAAATGTTAGCGAATCTCCGCTGTCCGCATCGGTGGCGCTTATTGTGTGTACGACAGCGCTGGCGTTGTTTTCGGGTACTGTGACAGTATAAGGCGCATTGGTAAAACCTGGCGCGTCATTCGTGTCACGCACGGTGATTGTTAAAGCTTCTGTTACAGAGCTTGTGCTGTCGGAAACAGAGATGTTCAAAGAGTAAGTATTCACNATTGACAACTGCAAAGTCTTCCGTTGATGATTTAAAGTATGTAATTTCAGAAAGTCTTGGTTTTATTCAAATTATTCTCAGTCGTCGACTTATTCAGCGAATGGGAGTAAAATGTCGGACAGCCCAAGTTCTGTAAACATTGAACTCGTTATTTAATCTGTTTTTATCATTAGCTATCAGGAAAATTAAACTGCATTTCAAGCGAGTGAATCAACTAGAAATCAGCTCTCCTTTCAAACTCTTTCGGGAGCGGGGACGAAGCATATGCCGGTTGTGCCGGGTAAAAAACGTTGATAGAAATTACTTCTCAGTGTTCTGAAAAGACCTCAACAAGTTGAAGTTATGACTAAGACAACTTGCGACATTTTGCTGCAGATTGCTCCAGCGATCTCCGATGTTGAAGACCTCCAATCGACCTACATCGTTAATTGCGTCTTTAACAGTTTTCTGTCCTACACAGCTACCATGCTGAACATTGTCACAATCTACGCGATACGAAAAACATCCTCGTTGCCAAAACCTTTGAAAACATTACTCCTGAGCCTGGCTGTTTCTGATCTTGGTGTTGGTCTGTTGAGCGAGCCATTTTACATCTGGCTCCTGGTGAGATGGTCTCGGCTAATCTTACCTTCCTGCACCGCGTTCAACGCAATTTTCTTCCCTGTACGATTATTTGCTACAACGTCGTATCTTACAGTTGTTGCCATAAGTATGGAACGATTCCTGGCGATTCATCTTCATCTCCGATACCAGGAACTTGTAACTCACAAGCGTGTTGTTGCAGTTGTGATCTCAATATGGATTTTTAGTTTATTCACTTCTTCAATGCATTTTTCTCATCCCCGTATTGTTTCTGCGATTTGTCTTTTTATCGGTGTGGCTTGTATTCTTGCGACGACATTTATTTCTTGGAAGATTTATTTAGTTTTACGGCGTCACAAGGACCAAATTCAAGCTTTACAACCACAAGAAGCACAACAAGCAGCCCAAAATGGAAACGTGGTCAATTTTGCCAGCCTTAAAAAGTCTGTTGTGGGTTTATTTCACGTATATCTTGTGTTCTTGATTTGTTACTTGCCTCGCTTTATTATTTTGGCTGCAAGGGTAATCCAAGGTCCTCATCTCACCGTCATGAAGTCTTCAATTTACTCGTGGACTTTGGTATTTCTTAATTCATCTCTAAACCCTGTGATTTACTGCTGGAAAATGAGACACATTCGACACGCTATCATGGACATACTGCGAAACATTGCACACCGGTACAGAACTTGCCAAGGATAGTATCGTTATAAGCGGCCCTGATGCTTGGTGATTCTTGGTGATTCTGTTCTTTTAGCGTTGACGGGTTTTAATTAGTTTGCATGTTTTAAAACGCTTGAAAAGTCTTCCATGGGATTACTATAAACCTAATACAGGATAACGAAGAAACAACGAAAGACATGCAACATCAAAGTCAGAAAAAATTGGTACTTTCTCTCGAATTTGGCCCTATTAACGTATTGCCATTACACCTTTACGTCGTTGTTCCCGGCCTTCAAAAAGACTAGTTCTCGAGAACTTCAGTCTGGCAGAGGTAAAGTCCGATTTGTTTGTGGATTGTTCTTAAAAAAGCAGTTCGAGCAGATTAAAAAGCAGATTGTCGGCTGCTGTGTGATTACAGACAAATTGAAAAGATGCTTGAAGAAATTCGAATGCTTGAGTTCATAATGCAGGGAAAAACAAACAGAAATGTAAACACAGACAAATGCATAAATATGCTAACTTAATTTTATGATGAGACAGGCTTTGTTGAACACCTGGCTCGGCCGGAATAAATTTGGGTAATACAACAATTAAGAATCAGCAGGGATTGCAAACACTGGAGTAACTGCCCCTTTTTAAACCCATATTCGAAAACTTACCTGAATCTGGATCTGAGGCGCTGACCGTATAAATTGCGCCTGCAGCCTCGTTTTCATTCACGCTAACACTGTAAGGTGCATCTGTAAATGACGGAGCATCATTGACGTCGCGGATACTGATGGTCAGCGGCTGAGAGACTGTCTTTGTACCATCAGTGACATTTACAGTCAGCGAGTAAGAGCTGGTTGTTTCATAATCTAGGGACTGGTAACAAGTAAAAAAAAAAACAACTTGAATAAATTTGTAGCCAAATAAATTAAATTCTAAATAAATTATGTAGAAATAAATCCTGTTTTATCACAAAGTAGAAGGTACATTTTATATCAGATGAGAACTTTAAAGGAGGAACGAAGCTCTGGCTGTTTTTGGAAAATACAACTGCCATGGTAAAGATTACTTACTGTATCTCCCAAACAAGCTTTTACCAGATCACTAGCAGTCGCGAACGACTTGCATCTTTAAATTATCGTTGTATTTAACTTCACTGGCTATACCCTTCAACTTGGCTATACCTTGAAAATTTCCGCTTCTGGCTAATTTCGTTTAAAAGCGTGAGCACTCGAAGGTACCTCTGAAAGTCGCCCCCCCCGGACTGAATTACATCATTCTACTTTATTTAAGTGGATCAACAAGTACATGGCTGAGTTCTCACTCATGGTTAACTATCCATCAAACTAGCCAATGATCAACTCGAAGTTGATAAAGGTAAATTAAAAGTCCTGTTGAGTTGAAGCTGACGTTTAGAGCTTTGGTTTTTCGTAAGAGTAGCGTGATTTACTTTAAAAAGGGACCCTCCCGAGGGGGGGGGGGTAGCATGTTATCTTGTTCCCTTGAAAATTTCGCTTTTTCTTCCTGTTCCCTATTAATTAACTTTATTGCTCCCTAATTTTTTTCGTCAAAGTTCCCTTTTAAAGCAGAGATAACCTTTGTTCCCTCAAATTAAACCCAAAAGTATCCATTTTTCCCCCTAAACGCCTGGGAGGCCCTCGCAGGGGGCTAAAGCTCAAAACGTCGACTTGCCCGCCATCGCAGCCTACAAACTAATACCTTTCTCCAAGAAACAGTTTTACACTTATAATTATAACTGATACGGTTAATTCAAATACCTGACTCGTTGTTATGATCCCTGTGGCTGATCCAATGTTGAAATCACTGCTGCCAGTCAAACTAAACGTCAACGAATCACCGTCCTGATCTGACGCTGTTAAAACCAATACAGTGCTTCCAATACTAGCATCCTCACCAACGCTCGTGCTATAAGGTGTGCCAAGAAAGACTGGGTCATCATTTTGATTGACAACGTCAACATACAATGACGTAATCGCCACTCCCCCATTACTATCACTCCCTCGGACTGTTAGCGTGTAACCGCTGACTGTTTCATAATCAAGTGCGTCGTCTAAAGACACAACTCCAGTATTAGCGTGAATCGAGAACAGCTCACTTCCTACTCCATATAAGCTGAACGTTACTGTATCTCCATCTTCGTCTGTGGCGCTTACCGTAAAAACGTTTCCGCTGTTGACGTTTTCGTTCACACTTGCGTTGTAAGGTGCGTTAGAAAACGTTGGAGCGTCGTTGAGGTCATCAACGCTGATAGTTATCCCTTCATTAACTGTCACGCTGCCGTCTGATACGGACACGTTCAGGGAATAAGAATTGATATTTTCCCTGTCGAGTCCTTGCACCGTGGTTATAACTCCCGTATTTGAGCCGATATTAAAGTGACCGCTATTAGCTCCGGACAGACTGTATGTCAGCGTGTCTGAAGGATCATCATCAATAGCAAAAACTTTTATCACGGTGGTCCCGACGGGGAGGTTTTCACCGATGTTCATGCTATACGGCGTGCTGACGAACTGGGGCGAGTCATTCTGATCGACAACTGTCACGTTTAAGCTTGTCGTAGCCACGCCCATGTTTGAATCACAGGCTCTGATGGTAAGATAGTACGCGGGTGTGGTCTCAAAATCCAAAGCACGTGTTAACGTGACCACGCCCGTGGATGGGTTAATGGAAAAGTCAGTACTTCCGGTTCCGGATAGTGTAAATGTCACGGAATCGCCACTGTCTTCATCCGTAGCGCTAACTGTATGAACCGCGGCAGCGGCGTCGTTTTCCACCACGCTTACGTTGTACGGGGCGTTGGTGAAAGTTGGCGCGTCGTTTGTGTCAATCACTGTGATTGACAGGGCCTCAGTGGCAAACGAGTCACCGTCTGTTACACTGATCCCCAGCGTATACAAGCCCACGGTTTCTTGGTCCAGTGGTTGGGTAGTAGTCACCAGGCCTGTCGAGGAGGAGATTGCAAAATGACTGCTGTTTGTTTCAGTTAGGGAGTAAGTCAAAGAATCACCGTTGTCTTCATCAATCGCTACCACTTGAATGACATGGGTTCCTGTTTGAAGATTCTCAGCGATGCTCACACTATATGGTGTCGTTAGAAAACTTGGTGTTTCATTTAAGTTGTTGACTGACACGTTAAGGTTCGTTGTGGCGCTACCTCCGTTCTCATCTAAAACTATTAATGATAAAAAATATGAGGATCTAGATTCATAGTCGAGGGCGCGAGCGAGTGTTATAGCGCCTGTAGAAGAATCTAATACGAAATCAGCTGAACCTGAGCCCGCGAGGAAAAACGTCAAGCTGTCAGCGGTATCCTGGTCGGATGCACTCACGGTGTACACGACTGCGCCTGCGTCATTTTCATCAACAGCTGCTGAGTAAGGTGCGTTAGTAAACGCAGGCTCATCATTCTTGTTATTGACGGTAATAGTCAAAGACGTCGTGATAGTGGTTTTACCATCAGTCACCGAAACTGTCAGCGCGTATGAGGTCACAGTTTCATAATCTAAGCTCTTTATAGTACTTATAAGACCAGAGTTGCTTGCGATCGCAAAGTCGGCATTATTGATACCAGAAAGACTGTATGTCAGCGTGTCTCCGCTGTCATCATCGATCGCAGACGCTGTGAGCAGTGTAAATCCACTTGACAGGCCTTCATCAATAGCAGCAGCATACGGTGCACCAAGGAATTCTGGGGAATCATTGGCGTCAGTGACCGTGATTGTAAGGCTGGTAGATGCGCGGCCGCCATTTCCGTCAGAAACGTGCACTATGGAGGGAATGGCAAAAATAAAATGAGTTATAATGAGGTATAAGTCTTTTTTCAAGCCTAGGTAGTTGAACAGCTCGGGTTTCCGCGATCCCCAACCCGAAGCGCTTAGGAATATTTCTACAGCCCCTGGCTTGGATTCATGTCACGAATCCATGATGCTATTTCATTTTAGTATAAATCTACTAGCGTTCTATCGCGAATGCCGTTCTCTGATAGAGAGAGGGTAGCGTAGCAGTGTGCCCTTGTTAACAAATGACGGCCGCTTCTTGGCGTTTTCGAAGTGTCTATAATGAGGATTTAGATAGAGTTTTGAACAACTAGTAGATTTATACTAAAACAATTCGATTATTTATAGCTCTCGATTTCTATCGCGTGATCGTCAACTATCACGCGATTGAAATCTCGGGCTCATAATCTAATTGTTTAATAGCTAACAAACCTCCAACACTTCTGTTGCGTTGCCCTTACAAATCACCGATAACCATATATACTCCTAATTGACTTATTCACTAGCTGAAAGTGATAGAAATAAATAAACTAACTTAAAAAAAAAATGCGGGAAATTCTTTAAGACAAAAGGACGAAAACGGTTGCTCATGCAATCTTGTGTGCGAAACCTTGATTAAAAGAATAAAACAAGAGCTGCGTGCTAAAACTATTCTATAAAAAGCGGGCGTGGAACGTAGAAGAGACTGCTGACCTGCGGACTTGCCCTCCAGTTAATTTGATAACGGTGGTTGTCAATAATAATATTGTAACACGATATACACTTTAAAAAACGTCTGCAAGTTCACAGACTGCATTTGGTTAATACGGATACAAAACGCCGTCCTTTTTATTGGCTAGTTTGAACACATTTCAGTGGTTATGAAGTAAACTGAATTCTTAGGAGTCGAGCGAGCGAGTATTAAGATAAGTTAGGCACGACAAATAAGTAAACTGATACCGGGGCTAAGTAGTTTTATATAGAGATAGCTTTCTTTGTTCCGACAATTCTTTATTGCATAACTTCTAATTTGCCTTAGTGATGATCAGCTCACCAGTCAAGGAGTATGAAGTCGTATCTTCATAGTTCAATTTCTGAGTGGTTGTCACAATTCCTGTACCAGAGTCTATCGTGAAATGCGTCACACCCGATCCCGACAACGAATACGTCAGCGAATCGCCGTCCTGATCACTCGCGTCCACATCGTAAACACTCGTGCCAACCGATACATTTTCGGAGACGCTCGTCGAGTAGGGAGAGCTCGGCAGCGTTGGCGCGTCGTTTTCATCCAGAACACTAATGGAGACGAACTTCGAGTCGCTCGCTGCACCATCGGAGAAAGTCACCGTTAAATTGTAACTGTCTTGTGTTTCGAAATCGAGAGTAACTCCTGACTTGATCCGAATCACACCCGAGTTAAGAATTGTGAAATCGGAGCTGCCCGACAAGGAGAACAAGATACCATGTCCATCTTCATCGGAGGCTCCGGTTTTCAACACATTTGTCCCGCTGGGTTCGTTCTCTGCGATAGTAGCCGAGTACGAGCTACTAAGGGAGACTGGCGCGTCATTCTGATTGGTCACCGTAACTGTCAATGATGTTGACGCCACGCTGCCGTTACCGTGACCGTTACCATCGGATGCCGTGACAGTAAGCGAGTAGGAAGAGCGTGACTCGTAGTTGAGCGCGTTTTTAAGGGTGACCACGCCGCTAGACGCGTGAATGGTGAAGTCGGAACTTTTGGCGCCGGATAGAGAATAGGTAACTGTATCTCCTGAAATATAAAATATAATGGCGTGAGGTCAGTGTTTGAGTCACATTGA